CAAAATAAAACTGTTGGAATTGTGTCATATTAGGAAAATTAGGAAAACCTTTATCTGTTATCATCAAATTAAGTTTTAAGTCAGTGTAAGTTGCTATTTTTGTTTGTTTCTTGTTGTCACTGTGCTCATTTTGTTCTGTAGATTTGAAAAACAAGTTTTGAAGAGTCAGCCAACAACAAATGCTAAATTAAAAGGATGGAATCGCCTTTTTTAAAAAAACAAAAAACAACAACATATGTCCTGAATCTTAAGTTTAGATCTGCTGCATTCTGTATATGGGCAAAGAATGCAACAAATGCTTTAGAAGAGTTTAGACCAATGAGACAACAGTCAGTTTTGGACTAACTTGTAATAAAAGTTTCCCTTTCCAGTTGTTTTAATTGCCACACACTGTATTTTCCTTTATCGGCATTGCAGAATCATTCCAGTTGCCTTAATTTTTGCATCTGTAGCGTACCGTGGGAACATTAATACTTGGCAACGCTACATTTAGCTTTTAGGATGACTATACAAATCTGTACTTTCCTTGGTTGTTTATTGCAGTATTAAAGTAAATGAAGAGATGGAGGAAGTATTTGTTTAAAAAATATAGCGTGAACTCTTTGGGCATAGTGTGCATATTTTCATGGAAGCTTACGTCTCTCCGAATAAACCATTTTAATGCCACTGAATCAAATTCAACCATATACATGGCGGACTTAAATTTAGGAATTAGTTCAGTAGCAGTTTATGACCCTTTCCTTTGAAGTAAACTAAAGCACATTAGATCAAGAATTTATTAGCCTAGAAGTATAAAGTTTGCCCCAGTATCAATAGAAAAGAAAAGTGGCAAAGTCACAAATAAACTTTCACTGTTACTTCTAAGTTTCACAATTTTTGAACATCTTATTTGAAAACATTAATAGGAGGCTACAGGTATCTGTTTATAATTAAACAAGAAGAGATCATAAGCCCAAGGTCTCCCAGTGAACAAAATTTAAAACCACTTACTTGAAATGTAAGTCACCCAGATACCTCACAAAGCAAGCTATACCCACCAACAGAAAGGCATTAAAAAGCCTTTAAAAGGTAAAGATTGATCTATCGAATATATTCCCTAAACTGATTTAACAAATTCATATCAAAGATATATTCCAGGTGAATTCTAATACCCATGCTGCACAGCATGTGGTAGGCCAAATTCCGACTCCCCACTCACTTCCCAGGATATAAATGCAAAATTAACATTGCAAAAGCAGCATGAATGTGGGATGGTATTTTTGCCAACTGCAGCCCTATACAGAGAACCCTTGTGAGGATCACTCGTGCCAGAGGCAAGAGTAATATGTGACAACAAAGGGTGGCTGGGTCAGAAAGAATGCAGAGTAAATCACACTGACCGTGTCCCATGACCTTGCCCCAATATTCCTTCTCCAGGGCTTCAGCCAGGGTTGACATGCATACTACAAACTGAGTTCGGCAACAATTACATCCCAATGTTCCCCTCCTACCTACCTATGGCACTTCTGTGGCCCCCATTACCATAGTATCTGAGCACCTGACAATCGTTAGTGTATTTATCCGCACAACACCTTTGGGAGATAGGGAGGTGCTTTTTATCTCCATTTTGCAGATGGGGAACTGAGGCAAAGAGACTAAATGACTTGCTAAAGATCACAGAGGAAGCCCCAGGCTAGCACTCTAACCACTGAACTATCCATCCTCTTCCTCTGCTGCCTCTGTGCTTCCCTGAACAAAAGAAATGACCTAATATAGCCTTATATTAATGACATTTCAATCAGCCTCCCTTCACTGGCAAAATTTTCATTAGTAACAAAGTGAAAATAAAGTTGATCACCTCTAAATTTACCTACTAACCACCTTGGCCAATGAACAAGCTATGTACATGGTTGCTTTTACATCATCAGCACCTTTGTAGATCCATTTTTCTTTTCTTTTCTCTTCTTACGCAAATTTTAGTACTGAAATTTATAAACCATGATTCACAAGCTATTTTCTCAGGATGACAGCATCATAAATTGTACGGGAGTCTTCAGAAATAAGAACTGAAGCTAGGTGTACGGTATGTGTCAGACAAACACTAAGTTGGCTCTAGCTACTCATATAAATAGCAAAAAAAGCCTTACGTTTATTAGAAACAGATTAAATAAGTTCCAATTCTTTACGAATGCTAGAACTACTGTAGAGACCTAGCCAACTCTAGCACAGCAGGAGTTTTAGTTGTCTATCACTGCACATTTAAACACCTGAGGACTTTGCAATAAACACTGAATTGAATTCACCATCAAAAGACAAAATCCATGTTCTAGCTGCCAAAACCTTTAGCAGCCTAAACAGAAAATGTCATAAATGATTTTCAGTAACAGTATAAAAATAAAAAACAACATTTTAACGTCTTAAGGGGATGGATAAATAGACAGATAAATAGATTTACAGCTATGATTTTTTTTTCTAAACAAGAATCATACTTCAATTGGATTGATAAAGCAGAACAAATTAAGAAAAAATCTAATAAGCAATTTTATTTTTAAGCTCTTCAGTTCTGTTAGGCTCATCAGCCTGAGGGACAAAGTCAACAGAGAAATTTTTTAAAAGCAGTGCTGTTTTATTTGCATTAGGGTTCTGGGAGTCTTCACTGGTGCCAGATAAAATAAAACAAACAGTTTAAAGGAAAAAAGTCACACAATTAGAAGTGCTGTTTTGGAGGCTTTTCCATCCCATCTTTGACAATGTCACGAATTATGCCATAGGTGCACTTCACACACACATGCAAAATCATGTTTAGAATATCACTGCTCAGGGATCCAAATCCAAAGACACCTGCAACTTGAGCAGCTTTGATGGTGCTGGCAGTCTGAAATTCTTGCTGGTTTGGGTGATGTGACTGTGGGAGGAGGGAGTTTGTGTACTTTGAGGTTCTTTCCTCATTATGATTTTAACAGGCACTTTCATGCTCCGGATAAAAAGAGAGCCTAAAAAGACCCAGTGGCAGTAAACTCGCCAGGTTGCAGGGGCTCGTTTGCCAGATATGAATTACTAGCAAGGAGTTTATTGCTGCTGAGCTGATGCAGTTTGTCTATTATGCTTAGGGATATTCTTGTATAAATTAAAGGATCAAAAAATGAGCTGCTTTATAAAGCACCTATATGAACGAATACGAACATTTTAAAAAATGGCATTTTCACATTTAGACTCTGTGATGAAGTGAAGTTTTGCTGAACAAGAAGCTGCATATCTTTCAAAATTATCACACAAACAAGTTGTTTCCATATAACCTTTTCACATGAGTAAGCGAACTGCATCAAAGACCAGCAAAACAGGTTTTACTTTCTTCTAGTGCTTGCTAAAGTAAGAAATCATGAAAGAAAAACTTTAAGGTAACTATTTCTATTTAAAATGGAAAAATGTCCATGAGAACAGTAATTAGAGTTGCAAAATAATTAGTCTTAGATTTGTTTCTGTAAGACAAACAATTTCAAATGGGTCAACAGAAGCAATGTCAGAAAAAGGTCAAGACAATTCTCTTTCACACTAGGGACAGCTGTTGCAATTCACAGTAGTTTTTCTTTGTTGTTAAGAGAGAAGAGAGATTACTGCAGTCTTAATACCTGGAGTAATGTATGAGAGCCAAATGCTCACGGAAAAATCAGCATCCTATCTACAAACTTTTAAACCATGCATTCAATTCTTTTCAAATTACTAATATACAAGCCCCCCCATCCCCCAAATCACAAATCCTTTTACACCAGATCTGTATTTGGCCCAAGATAAACTCTATCAGCAGCAGTAAAATATAAAGGCCCATCCAGTCAGCCTTCATTTTCTTCAGAGACCTCTATTTACTCACTAAGTGAAATTCACTCATGGGGCACAGGGCCAGTACAAAGCCCCTCACCTCCATTTAAACTTTGCACGGGGCTATGCAGGGACAAGCAGCTGCACAGGGTGCCTTTGCATTCCCAACACATTACAAAAATGTTCCCTGTGTTGGCCCCACATAAGCTGCATAGAAGATCACACTGGGAACAGACTATAGAAGGGGCTATGGACTGGTACATACATGAATCCAATGGTACCAATACCCCATAAAACTGGTGCCAGTGGGCTTCAAACACTAGATCCAGTCCTTGGATCCTGACTCCAGGCTGGGGAGGTGGATTTCACCTTCAGAACTCCTCTACCAAAATACAGCTTAAATACACAGGCTTTATTCTGGTATAGTCACCTCCAAACCTGCTGTACAACCCAGGCAAAACCTACCTTCTCCCACTGTCAATTACACACTCCTATATTAAATATTACAGTAATCGGAGGATGCTTCTTGTTGATCAGCTAATAACCAATCCTGGACTGGAATAAACTCTACAGCCAAAAGTCCAGAATAAGGTAGTTATTCAGTTTGAGAGGAAGTAACATTAAGACATTATATACCCAGATTCTGCATCATATAATCAAATTTTAAATTACAACAAAAAAATCTACCAAAAATGCATGTCACATTACAGAAAGGCAAATCGTTACAAAAATGGGAGCCTCTTGATTACATTGTACATTACAAATAACATTGTGGAGCTGTGCTACTTCTGGTACCTCTGCTAGCAGGGCCGAGAGGGGGGAGGGGCAGAAGGGCCGTTTGGCCTGGGCCTCAAGCTCAAAGGGGGCCTCAAATTTAGACACTTGTAAATTTTTTGGCAAATAAGAGATGTGATTTGGTAAAAGACAATTTTTTTTGCACAGAAAAAGGCTAGAAAAGCATTCGTTAAATAAAAAAAAATTCAAATTATGTCTCGCTCTTTTTTGTTGCCTTATTTTGTTCGCATGTGTCGTCATTTTTTATTTTTAACAACTGCCTTGTTTATTATGGCTAGGGGCCTCAAAAGCCTGGAAGTGGCCCGGCCCTCTCTGAGAGGGCCTGTCTGCCAGGCTTGTGAAAGGGAAGCAGGTGTAGCATCAGAGCCAATACTGATTAGAGCAGCGATAACTTCTGCAAAGTTATCCACCCAGTCAGAAGGAAGCAGAGAGCGGCGTGTGGCTGCTCTCTTAGCCCTACAACCAGCACAACTCCTCCCTACCCAAGAAGAGTCCTAACCCCAAAGGCCCCATGCCCCAGCACAGGCTGGAGGGACAAGGAGCTGCTGTTCTACCTTCCTGCTAGTTTCTACCTGGGTCCTTCGGCTTCTCCTTTCTCCTCACTCTCAATAATGAGGGGTATCATACTAGCCAGAGAAATTAGAGGAGACCATCACTCATATCATCTAGCCAGTACACGTAGTCAGGTTTCTTGTTCTTTGTCACAAATAATGGGGCTTCAACCTCCCTTTGGAGACTATACCACAGTCTAATTATAGGATGCACTCTCAAGACACGCTTTTCTGCTATTCCAGTGAAATTTTCCTTTTCTAAGGTTCATCCTTTTACTATTAGTTCTACCCTCCCATACTACCCTATATCATTGTTCTCCACCTTTGCTGTTTGTTTGTTTCAAGTATTTATAGATGTTTA